AACATCTAAATTTAGCCTCACAATTCAGGCAGTTGAACTGCTATTTTTAATCAAATTTTAAAAACAGGACATTACCAGAAAATTTCTTCTAAAAATGCTTACTTAATTGAATTTAAATCTAGCCTACTCCAAAGTAAGACTACATGAACACTGTGTTTTCAGTAATTTATACTATTAGTATTCATATTTTTCCAAGGCAAAATATGAGAAAAAGCCAGATTTTAAAAGCAATTAAGAGGATACAAATGTTGTGCACTGCAAGAGCACAGTTCTCAAAAGACCAGAGTCCTGGCAACTATCATAATCCTTTTGAAATTGTGCATATTACGATTAAAGATCACTTTGTTCCTCTATTCCCACAACTAGTTGGTATGGTAAAAAGATCAGTCTCCTAGTTTTATATGCAACATCTTTAACATTTGCTCTCCTTTCTGTGCATGTGATTAAATGTAACATTTTGAAATCCCAAAGTTCTGAGAAAAACATAAATCCTTGTCCACAGCTGCTGTTTGACTCTGGAAACACATGCATTTTCTTTTCAAGCATCTACCATCAAAAAATCCCAAAGGACTTGAACTGGAGAACACCTGCATCTCTTCATTTAGTTCCAATAACAGAGCCTAAACTTCAAAATTACAAAAATAGATGCTATGTTCAGCTGCAGTTACATTCTGCCCCTAATTCCCGTGAACAAAAATGCTAAGAGCATGAAATCATTCAGGCAAGCTCTGTCATCGAGAGGATAAGATTTTTTGCACCAGAAGCCCAGTGGGAACTTGATAGAAAACTGGCAACAATTACAGATAAAGTACATAGTGAAATCCTCAGGGAGAAAAAAGGAAATGTAATAAGATAGATGGGTATAATTTTTACACATTTATGTCCAAACCACAAATGTGAATTGTCTTTAATTACTCCAATATACTAAGCATTTTTATTCGTTGATTGTGTTAAAACTTTCCAAAATACTTCAAATTAGTCTATAAATTCTCTAAGTTTTTTTTTTCTTTTAAATTTATTTACTTGTACAAGTGTTCACTTAATTTGAACTGAGGACTTAAAAATACTGTTCCAGCTTCAAAATCCAGACTTTGTAGTATCTCAAGTCCAAGTAGTCAAAATTTAAAAAAAAAAAAAAAATATGTCAATGGCAGGCCTTTTTAACTGCAAAAAGAAGAAGTTGGGGGCATATGTAGATTTATACGCATAAACCCAAATAAAAGTAAAAATCTCTCACCTCCTTTCAAGTAAGTTCTAACACATAAAAATCACCTGGTTTATGATAAGAAAAAAAGTTAATGCCCCCACCTTTAAGGGTAATTTTTTCATATTTGAAGATATGATTTCTTCAGTTATATTTTTTTCCTTCGCTGGGGTAAGGGGGTGAATGGAGTGATCTTACCGATATTATACAATACTGATAGAGGAGAAAAAAAGAATCCAAAAGTTTTTGGAAGCTTGAGCAACTTGTCACTTAAACAAGAAAAAACAACTTCTATAAGGTTGAATATTTCCTTTTCAGTCTTCAAGTCGCTTTGACAAACCAGAGTAGCCTCCCCACTCTTGCTCTGCTCCACTGGGTGTATAAATCTAACACATAGGAGCATGATATGAATACAGGTGATACAGTACTTTTGTTTACTCCCTTATTTCACTGCTGCATTACTGAATATTTAAACTGACCTCAAAGAAAACTTTATTAATTGTATTTTTTATTTAAGTTCCTCTTGATTTATACGTAATAAAGCTGTCCATACACTGGCTGCGCACACACTCCCAATTATTCAACATGGCAAACCAAATAGCGCGTAATCAGCTCACCTCATCTATTCAACAGCTGGTCATAATTAAATACTAACACCAGCATTCATTTTGAAATCTCCCTCCTCTCTCAAAGGCCAGGTGAAACAAACAAGGTCTGCAGCTTGCTCCAGGGTTAATAAAGCTGGGGTTATTTCAGAGAAGGAGTAAGAAGACCTCCCCAAGCCCTGGAGTAATGGAATAATCTCCTCTCTTGTATTTATTTTAGATGCTGCAGTTTAAAGACTGGGTAGCATATCCACTGATTTTTACAACTATGCACAGAGATACCTGGACAGTTTTTCATACCACAAAATATCCAAAATTAAAATCACCAGCAGTCAGACTTGTATTTAAGGATTAAACAAAATCACATTTTGTCCCTAAATACTTCCCTCAAATTTTAAATATATCCTCAGGGCCATGTACAGGCAAGTAGTAAAAGGAATTTGCACAATCATCCTGATCACCCTGGATCATACGACTCAAGCGATACAAGACAGTTGCTGACTCAACAAAGAAAGGAGGAGGAATAGTCCCCTACCTGTTCCCAAGGTAAATATGCCCTGATTTACTCAAGAAACCCACTGCCATTTGCACCACCTCCTCCTTAGCATTTTATATCCAAACAGGTGCTTTGATTTTTTACCAAGTTGTTTTCCATTCAACTTAATAAATGAATTAGTCCAAATTCCTGTTCCAGACAACATTTTTAGGAAAAATTTCACAAACAGGACAACTTCAGTACTGGACAATCACCTTCAGTAGTACAGCTCTAAACCCTTTTATTCCTGAGTAAGCAGTTTTTGCTGTGAAATTATCCAGTATAGCTTTTTTAACTCCCAGAAGTGACTGCAACTGACAGCAAAAGCATTTTTACGCTCTCAAAGCACCTCCTGTTTTCCCTACATGTAATTTTCACAGTCATAACAAAAAAGAATAGCGATTATCTCCTGGATTAAATTGCCCAGCTTCTTCGGCAAGTACTTGAAAACAAATGCTTTTGTTAACTCCCCGATCTTTTCCTTAGAACCTGAAATAATTGAAACACTCATGCTTCTTGGTTTAATTTATGTTTAAAAGAAAAATCATTTGCAGTATGCCATTCTTCCTGTTGACTGGGACCAAAGTTAAGCAAATCAGTCAGCTTTTCCCCCTCATCTGTCACCAGACACAGGTGCCACCTTACAGATCTAGAGGAGCAGAGCTGGAATCTGAGCATGCAGGTAACTGTCATTGAGTACACGAGATCAATACAACTTTCCTGAGGCACTGAGGGGGCGGGTGATGTGTCCAGTAAATTTTCAACTCTAAGATCTTCACATTCGTAATATATCTCCATTCATCTGCAAAACAGGTGCCACAGACACTAGTCTGTTACAAAATCAGTGTTCTGCCTCTAAGAGTCCCTGCATGTGAGTCTGCCCGCACTGCATTTGTCAGTGCCTTAATTCTCATTGGCACCTCCTGTCACAACCTATCAAGGACTCTCTACTACCTAATTAGACTATCCATAATACTGACGAGCTAAAATGTACCCTCTGACCTGTAACAAAAGTAGTCATTCTACAGTATAGGAAACTATCCACAGATCCTTTAAAATGTAGTTAATATTCTAAGACAAAAGTCAGAAAATTTAACTGAAAAAATCAAGAAATGCAACCATCAATAATAGCAATAAATATTGTTATTATAAACATTTAAAATATATTTAAGTGAGACAACAGGTGCAAGAAATTTTAACTTCTGTTTAAAAATGGAATGTTGAATCATGAACTGCTTTTTGGCAATGTTTTAGGGGCAGGAACTGAAGATAATTGTTACAAAAACACTGCTGTAATCATTTCCAACATGATGCTCTCCAAGAAACATACAAGTACAGTTACTGAAAAAATAACCTAACAACTGCTGGAGTGCACAGTGCTTACAAATATTTACTCTGCATAAGAATCAAGTGTTGCTTACATATGCTCATAAAAATTACAATGACGGCAATAAATTCACTGTTACTTTTCAGACTAATGACATTCAACAACCATTACAGATGAAAAAAATAGAGAAAAAAGCACACTGTTCAAGTTACGTCTGTGTTTCATAATACTAGGTTGGCTAATTCTTCTGCTTTCCTTAACCTTGATACTTTTGGGGTTGTTTCCCCCCTGCCCCCCCATTTGATTCCATGCTTAGCATGGCAGAATAAGCTGTGGAAAACAGGAAAGCATGATTTTTAACAAGCACCATGCTGACAGCAAAACATATTTCTATGTATATTTCACAAACTATATGAGAGTTATTTTAAACTAGACACATTTCAAAATGGTCAGTGTCGCTTAAAATGGACCAATGTTTTGTTTAAAGACCACTAGAAACCATAAGAATGTCAGGTAAAAATATTTATGCCCACAAAGTCAACAACAGCCTTAAATTTAGCCGAGCAACTCTCCAAAATTATTAACTTCTCATCTAAATCCACCACAACACCAAATTTGATGAGGTCAGATGTGTGCCCCCCTGTAGCACTTTAAAAATCTCTTTTTTATTGTTAACAAATTTTATGATAAATAAATTCTTAATAATAAATTATGCTGCAAATTTATGGGAACCATTTTGTGTTCAGTATGTCAACTTCTGTATAAGAAGCTCAAACCAAAACCAGGAAGAAAGAATAGAGCTCATATTTACAACATGGATCCTGCTCACCCCTCCCCCTCAACCTCCAAGTTTACAAAAGTTTCCACATAAATAGTTTAAAGGCAACCAAAGTCAGTGAAGCATTCCTTATTGAAGAAGACATACATCAAAATGCAGCTTTTAGTCGTTTTGTCTCACAGTGAGCTAAAGTTATAGTGTGTGCAGAATGTGTAAAAGATACTTTGACATTTGGCACATTTTATATCAAGCCCCTCTTTTGAAAATTACATTGGATCGGAAAAATGTAATGTGATACCAGCTTAACAAGAGTTTTGCACTTACCAGAATTATGGCAGTAGTCCATATACTGTGGAATTTGGATTGTAAAGGCTACCAAATCTGGAGCTAAAAGAGATTCTGGCTTTCTACTCTCATTGAGCCATTTACTGCTGTGTAAGTCTCTGGTATCAGAAGGGCCTTGAATTAAAGGAATCAGCTTCTCTTTTCCACCGTCACCTAAGATAAAGATTAGACTTGTTACAGCTTTTAGTATAACAAGATAAATTTTCAACACATAAACATTCACTAGTCCAAAGAGAACAGCTATTAACATCGTGAGTACAGAATTAAAAGAGGAAATCGAAAGAGCGGTATCATAAACTGCTGAACAACTTAATATTTATTCTGTAAATGTCTTGACATCCAGGAAGATTTCAAATAAAGTAATCAATTATCTTTAAAACAGTAATTTCCTTTCCAATCTTTTATTATAATATATTTAAATTGAGTTCATGGTAATGTTTAAATACACTAAATTTTTTATGCTCTTGACATTAGCTGCCTTTATACATGAAGGCATCACAGATGTTGATAAGTTCATGCATGCTCTTCAAGAAAAATTCTATTAAAGAAATAAACAGTTATCACAAAGCCCTCTAAAACTTCACAAGCAAAATATATACTTGTAGTCTTAACTGAAAATGAGACATTTAACAATCAACATGAAAATTATGCTAAGAATAAAGCAAGGTGCAACTATGCTGTGGTGTTCCCATTTCTTGAATGCTTTTAGATTAATATTTGTCTCAGCAGAAAAAAAAATATTTTATATTTAATGTAAAAATTGACTGTTCTGGGGCAAGGCTGGATCATCATGACATACTTAGTAATAACAAAAAAACCCCAAAACAGAATACAAAAACCCCTCTCTGATTCATAGGAACAATGAGTAAATTCTTGTTTCAGTAACTCTCCTTGTAAAAAGCAAGGCCAATTCTCCTATACAGGCAATAAAGTTTTACATGGTCCAGCTGCACATACCTGGGGCTTTGGCACAAATTTTTATTGATCCCATGGTCCCAGAGGCACATTTGACCAATGATGTGCTGCAGTACTTCAATTCAACATTCTGGATTGAGCCCTCAAGAGTTGGCAGGGGATTCTTAGATTTCACACCTAATAAAAGAAAACTGCAAATGTACTAGCCTGTTGAATTTAAATATTTTTATATTCCTTCACCAAGGCATTTAAACTTAATTATATTTTAATTATCTACCTTAGATGTTCTTAGAGCATTTTTGTTGTGATTCACAGTTTTTAAATGAAAGTGAGAGAATGCTGCATATGGGCTTTTTAATACAAACAGTTATGCATGAAATATATATATAGATACTGTGAGGAAAACACACAAGACCACTTAGAAACTGGAGGGATAAATATGTACAAATACACACATACACTTTTGTTTTCACTTTTTAAGTGCCATGTCAACTATTCTCCGCGTTTTTATTACGACCATTTCATTTCAGGATCTTAAAATGACTAAGTGTTTTCAGCTTTAAATTAGACAACAGCACTTTACTCAGTAGCAACGCAAAGCATTAAATCCATGCAGCTGAACAGCACAGAAGGCCAATGGCACACTTGCCGTTTTTCAGAGGAAACTGGAGTTCAAACCTTGCCTTAGGTCACAAGTGGAAATAAGTTTTGGTGGTCTTTCCTCAGCCCCCATTTGTAAGCACCAGAAAACTACTGCATCACTTGGAAGAAGTTGGTGCTATTGGCAGCCACTTCTGAAGAGCTGCTGAGAACCCCCGGCAGAAGCAGCAGGGGATTGACAAGCCAGGTCTGAGATATGTTGGCAGAGCTCAAGGGCAGGCCCCCAAAGCAGCCCCAGAGCATAGGTGGAGGAAGCCAGCCCTCCTATTCTCTACAGCTCTGCCTATCAGAAAAAAAACACATAAATTTACTTGCAAATTAGAAATAAATAGTTTCAACACCTGTAAGAAGTACGAGAGGAAAAACTAACAGAAGTTCCCTTTTTAATGTTTTTTTCCCCTCTTGCAGAAGTGACTTGGAATTTGTCAGTTAAAATTGGCAAGCACCTTGTTAATTATGCAAACATTAGTATAATTATGGAACCATTTCCTCACATATGTAACATAGAATTTGTTCCAAAGTCCATAATTATGCAAGGAAAGCATTAGGGAATATCAGGTAAAAAATTTAAGCATTTTGATACATATTTCAGGATAATTAAACACATTAAAGAAATTTAAAATACTATCTACAGAATGAATTAATTAGTTTTTTGCAAAATATCTCAAAGACTTGACCAAAAGAAAAACTTTTAACATATATTAACTAGGAAAAAATCCTAAAAAAATTACAGGAAATGGAAAGTTTAAGATTAAACTTGGTAATTGTGTTTAGCTCACTGTGACTACTTTAGCTCCTAAACATTGAGGAGTATTTGGTAGTGCACATAAAATCATTTAGCAAGCAGTCTTCTTGACATATATTCAAGCTTTTTTTCTAGTAAGACATTAATATAAATTTTGAATAAAACGTACTTTCCAAGATATGAAGAAAGAAGCAGCATATGAAGGGACACACAGCACTTAGTAAAGAACAGTGCTGTCTGCATTGTGTAGGTTCCACGTTCTATGCATACTTTTTTAGTAAAATTTAACCTGTCTTCTGTCTTCAAGGTATGTGCAGCCTTTTCCTAACCTGTGATTCAGGAAGTCTTCAGGCTGAAAGAATGCTCACTGAAACCCATTTGTATGCCTTCCTTTACAACACCCCAGTGGTTCTCAGTCTGAAAGATCTGTTTTAGTCTTGTGAATAGACCCTCGCTCCCATCCTTGCCCAGGGTAAACCTCTCTTAAAGCTGAAAATCCCCTCTGATCTAAGGGATGGTATCCGACACAACACATGAATTTGTCAAAAGCAGATAGGGTATCAGTAGGCATTTCTGCCTCCTCATACTTCCCATAAACTTGAGCAAATAGAGGTCATGTCGAAAAAAATTTAAAAAGAAAAAAGAAAAATAAGAAAGAAGACAAATAAAAGAGGAAAAAAGGAAAAGGAGACAAAAATGTTTTCTCCATTTTCTGCCTGTTCCAAAACAAGTTTATAAAATACTGTTAGTAACAGCCAACATTACAACAAACCAAATCAAATTGAGTTCATATTTTGACTCCCATCTTTTAAGTCCTCTCAAAACTGGTAGCTTCTTGCTGTTTCCATCTTTCAGCAACTCTTTTTTGCCTGAAAATACAAGGTGTGATGTCTGATACATTTCACTTCACTATGGAAGACTAAATACTTTTAAAACTAAATAATTCCCATAATGGAGTCGACTTTTCGATGCACTACCCTGGACAACTTCTCTGCATTGAGACTAAAATATTCCATGTTAGGTACATCCATTACTTATATTCTGTTTTAGTATCCTATTTGAAAACGAGGAATGAAATTCAACATGATTGTGTTCCCTATTTCTGTTTTTCTGTTCACTTCTCTTCTCTCACCAAGTAACTTCTGGACTCACTGAGTTTCAGCAAGATATGACAACATTATCAAAGACATTTATTTTCTACAATATTTATGAAAACGTCCTGTTAACTGACCAGTCATCACATTCATGACTGCCAGCAAAGCAGAGCTCAAAAAAGGCAGTGCCCTGGTTTTCACCCAGTCAGCAGTTAGGAATCATGATGGGAAGCTGGGAAAGCACATGAAGAAGTAACTGCAATAAGCTATGTTTTTCTGGAACACCTGTTTCAGGGATAGGATGAACACTCTCCTCTGCTGTTTTCAACTGCTTGAAAAGAAAATAGAAAAGCATTAGAGAAGCATAGTATAATCACACCCCTCCTTTTCTACTATGATGTTTTGATGTCAAATGGCAACTAGCTTTCAGCTTTAACACCTGATAATCACCACACACTACAGTAATCAAGAAGAAGTTGCAAGAAAATATGAATTCTGCTCAGGCTTCACAGCTCTGGACTGAGGGATACTCAGAAAATACATTTATTAATTACTGAAATCCTATACAGTGCCTACAGTGAGGAGTTTAAGATATGTTCACTGTTGAGACTTTGATTTTATGGTGATATCATTATGATGAAAGAAAGAATTAAGGAGAATATTTGGGAATAACTATAGTTACAGGGTAGGAAACTACAAATAGTCAGAGATGTAGGGAGGAAACAAGGCTTCTTTCTTCTCTCTAGAGCAGCTTGCCAATTTGAAAAATTTATAAGGGATGGTTCATAATTTCCAAAAATTTTCAGAGACTGAAGAAAATGTGCACCTATAGTAAACCTACTAATTATAAATGCTTCACCAAGAGTCTCTAAACTTTCTGTGCTTTGAAGAACCTAACTTGTACATTGGCAAGGGAAATCACCTTAGGTTCAGGTAATTTTTGTCTTTGTGATGAAAATCTAGTTAGGTCATAACTAAAATATTCCTTAAACACTTATTTTATTTAAGTGAGCAAAGACTAGGGCTTCCTTCCCTCCCCTCAATGTTTATTAACTTTTTAGAAGTAGTGCCATCTCAAGGGATTGACTGAGCAGGAAGATCATCAAACTCCTAGATAAGAAATGCTTTATGCCTTCAAGTACAAACTCAAACATACCACAACATTTTAATTCAGACATTGAGCATGAATTTGAAGAGAAATTAGGAAAACCAAATCTATCACTGCCAACAGCAACATTATGCAAATTCAACGTCCTGCAAATGAAGCATGAGAAACGCTTTTTCCCAAGGTGCAAAACAAGAGAGTAGAATTTGTACTGTATTCACTCCTCTGGAAACACACTTTCAGAAGCACCATTGTGATTTACTTGACTTGGTTGCTTGGTGGAGTCAAAATTGGAGAACAGGGCAGCCATGTTTATTTTTTAGTACAATTCCCATTTTCTCCAATTAATTTAGTATTTTCATCAGGAACAGTGTAATTAAAGACTTGATGGAGAGTGAGAGAGTGAGATATACATGTGCTTGTGTCTATCAAATATAACTCACTGCCATAAAACACATCACCAAATATCTAGAAAACTGTTCTTTCCATACTGCAGAAGCCAAAAATAGGCAGAAAGGTTTTCTAACTTCAAATCTACACAACCTTTAAAATTTAAACCTTGTGCACAATAACCCTAAAGAGCCATTCTGTTCCAGAAACATGAACAGACAAGGAAGGCTCTCCCACACCTTCAATCAAATGTTCACATCCTACTCCCAGCTTTTCTGAGTATGGTCAGGTTTGGTCTGTCCCATGTATGTAACCCAGCCACACAGCTCGCCCCAAGTTCCTGCATTTCATGTCATTCTATGTGCAAGCAGAGCAGAATCAAATACCTAAAGATAGGTCACAACTGTGTCTTTACAGATCAGCCCAGGATTTCTCTTAACAAACCTACTAATACCGAACAATCCTTTAATTTAGGACCCATTTAAAAACATTACCCAATTAGTGATTTTACCAATGACCTACACATCTTTTACCAATCTGCTCATGATAGGGTGAATTTGCAATGATTACCAGCAAACAAAGAGATAAAATCAAAACTGATCAATAACAAAGACAAGAAACCAACAAAAGAGGTATGTTACTGATTCTGAGGACAACAGTCAGGAGTGTGTGCTGCCAAATCCCCAAAATACATTAAATAACTCTTCAGAAAAATCATAAAAGAGAGAACTTCAAAATATGAAATAGGAAATGAGTAAGGCATGACTAAAACCTCTAGAAGCAACTCCACATGAATTGTCCCCATATTTAGGTTATGGCCTCAGAAGCGAAAATTTCAATATTTAAAGCATTAAGTACCAATAAACTATGGCTTGGCAACATTATATAGTAAAAGACGATCACACACTTGTCAAAATGATTGCAAACCCAGTAAAAAGATCAACCCATGAATAAAAGTACGGAGCTATCAACCAAATGAAATAACATTTAGGCCTAAGTCTCACTGGAATCAAGACAAAAAAATGTCAAATTATTTTCACAGAAACACATTTAGGTTTTACATGACTAACACAGAAAAGCTAGTAAACAAATTGAAGCATTAGAAAAACCTCATTTCTCTCCTGATATCCATTTGTGTTCAGTCTCTGCTTAAGCAATATGTCAGTGAGAACTTCTGAAAGTC